AAAATTAAGAGTCTGAATAAAAGACTATTGACAGTGGTGATGAAAGGGGTTAATCCTTCTTTCGTCATTTTTTGTAGCACAGCTCGTCATTCATCTCCACCAGTGTATCGTAATCTTTGAAGAGCTACATTTGTTTTAAAAAACATACAGATGTGATCAGACCCACAGATAAAAATCAGTCTCATTTTCTATCAGCTCTTGCGCAGGCAGTCCCTCCCCTCCATCCTTGTCACGTCCACAGGGCTAGCACGGCCTGCCTCGAGGTGAGAGGTCTTCTGGCTGGGGACCAGGACAGTATGGGTCCTCACTTTGATCTGCCTTAAACTGGCTGCTACCTGCAGATAGCATATTCACACATGCAGCTGCTTGAGAGGCCATTCTACATTTCTCGTTTCCTGTCTCTCGATCACGCCTCTCTTATCTGATAGAAACTACTCACATTTTTTTCTATTTTTCTATTAATAGCGCTTTCTAATGAGATCTAACTAGCAATAGGAAATGCAGCAAGTAGAGAGTTTAAGAAATATGTGGTGGTGGTGGGGTGTGTGTGTGTGCGCGCGTGCACTCACTGTCATCTGGTTACCATTTGAGGGCAGAATTATAGCTAATGATATCCTAGAGGAGAACTACAGTAGCTAAACATGCAACAGTTTCTCCGTTTTCCTCCCTCTCAGATCATTCCAGTGGTAAGAAGAGTTAAATTATGAGGGAACAAAGGCAGAGTCTATAATATGGGTTAGTTTGTTAGAGGCTAAAAGCATGTGTTTATTTACATTTCCAGACTCTTTGCATCTCAGATTTCCATCAGAATTCAACTATAATAATTTTGGGCTCTTCAGTTTTTCTTCTGAGGGTTTTTAGATGATGTCTGAGTTTGCAGTGCGATGCTGTACAGGTATGTTCTGTACTCTGTGTGTACTCACAGTCCTTGGAGGAAGTTTATGAAAGGCTGGCATAAGTCATTACAGGACTAAAGAATCGCTGACAAACATTTTTTGTAACACAGTTTTCTTTTCACTTTATCTCACTCTTCTGTAATATATGGAAACCAAAGCTTGGAGCTCTAAAAAGTTCTCTCTCGTGTTACTTCTAAACCAGAGTGGTCATACATATACCAACCAGAATTGGCTTGCCAGGGTATCCAGTCTAGTGCACTGACTGGATCACTTCGCAGTGTGCCAAAAAAAAACTACAGGGGAGGATGTTTTTTTTTGTTTTGTGCACTAGAACGTATTGTGTTAGAAGTTGTTAAGAATGCATCATGTCACACGTGGTTGTCTGAACATTTAAATTCATCCAAACCGCAGGTATGAGTCATTATCAGTTTTACGGCAGTCTTACCAAAGCAAGCCAAGGAGCCATGCTGGTGCATGTCATTATAATGACAGCAGACTGAATTAAAAAAAAAACAAAACAACAACAATAACAATTGAGACCAATTCTTAAATTGTTCTAACTTCTCGACGTCTCAGGCTGTTTATGATCTATTGTGTAAATGGATGATTCGTTAAATGTATTCCTAACATTAAAATAACGGCAGAAATGTACTGATATTTTAGTTATTTTGCATTGAATTAAAAAGTCTAAGAGTCCTGTTTCATGTCAAGGTAAACTAAAAAAAATGGGAACAAAATATTAAAAGTGCTCATGTGATCATTATCAAAAGGCATTATTGTCATTATACGGTCGATATTATCAAGTCATGAGACAAAAAAATCTTTGAGATTTAATATCGACCGTATTTTTTGTCATTCTTTTATGTAGAAGAAGAAAATGATGATACAGTATTATACAGCATCGACCAAAGACTGCACAGCACTCTGCCTCATGCACCTTTTTTTTAAATCCTGTCCTGTCTGGTAGCTTTTGCAATCAGAATTATGATCTGAATGCACTGTTGTGCCAAACGAGCCAGGTTCAGCTCTATAAATTCTGATTAGGCTCCTCTTGTTCAGGGTTTATCTGACTATTTCTTCATTTCTGGTCATTGTATTTAAAGTTATTATATTATATGTGGTATACATTATGTCAATGTCTAAGGCAGGACAGGATAGAGTACAAATAGAAATACACAACGTGTCGCCAACTGCTGCACCTGTAAGGAAAAAAAACATACAACACCTGGGACACAGAAATTCGAAAGTGTGTGTGTGTGTGTGTGTGTGTGTGTGTGTGTGTGTGTGTGTGTCACACAATGTACTTGAAAATGAGGGTGGGAGACCTGAAACCAGGAGTACCAAGCCTCCTGCACTCACTCTTATTGCACACTGCATGTGCTAGTCCTGCCTGTAACCATGGTAACAGCGCATAATGATGATGTTTGACTGACAGGGCTGATGTTTAATGGATGGCAGACAGTCTTATGTCCTTTTCACAAGAAGTGAACTGTGTAAGTAAGACATCCAACACAGTGTGCATTGGAAATATCCATGTTAGAACTAACTGTAAAAACATACTCATGTTTCTTATTTGTTTGATTATACTTTGTCGCTTCCAATGCAGGGCACCTTGTGCTATTTATTAAAACCCTGGGAAGTGTTAAGTCTTGATTTAAACTAAAGAACATTAATAACTGTTCCTCGTCCCTCAATGAATTATTGTTTGTTTTCATACCTCTGCTGTTTTCACCTGCACAAAAGTGAGGATATCCTGCTTTCCTCTTTCCTATCACATTTTAAACAGAACATATTTGAGTTCAGTTATTGGTACAATAAAAAAAGAGGCTTATAATAGCTTTTGTCTCTCTCTTATCCATTTTTATGCAGTTTTAGACACTTGGCTTCTTTTTAATACATTTGTATGATGATTGCTGGTGCTCAACTTCTAATGATTCCAGAGTGCATAAACACACACACACACACACACACACACACACACACACACACACACACACACACACACACACACACACACACACACACACACACACACACAATGTACTGGTCATTATTGAGTAAATTACTGAGTGTGTCTGTTTGCAGTGAATGACATGGATTTTCGCCATAGCCATCCTATTACTGTACAGTTTGTCAAAGTCATGCCTGCGAAAAACTAATCGCAATCAATAACTCTCACTCAGCTATTACTGTGGTAATAGTTCAGTCATCCTTTGGAAATGAAAAGGATGTTTGAAATCCTTGTTTGAAGCAGCCGATCAAAGAGATCTTCAAGGACAATTCTACATACTATAGGTGGATCAAACAGTTCCAGGAACTCCCTGAGGATCACTGCCCAGCAGGGAGCTCCGAAGAGAGATGGCTTATGCCTTAAAGGGATTTTTTTTTTCTGTTTTTATTTGCATGGCCAATGAGAACTCTACAGTGATGCAACAGCTATTCAGTTCAGTTTTAGGTTACTCATATAGCACCAAATTATAACAACGGTCTCATCAGGACTCTTTGCATTATAAGGTAAAGACCATACAGCACTAGAGAGAAAACCTCAACAATCAGACCTCCTCTAATGAGCAAGCACCAGTGGTGACAGTGGGAAGGAAAAAACCCATTTTAACAGGAAGAAATCGTCAACAGAACCAGGCTCGGGGAAGGGCAGTAATACACCACAGCCGGTTGGGGCGAGCTGGTGGTTGGCAAAGGAACAACAGCAGCAATGACAGGATAGAAGATATCGCCAATAGAGTGTGTATGTTATATACTCTTAATGTCCAACAGGATATTAGGATATTTTTTCTTTTTATTCTTCTTCTTGGGGCAGCACAGTTGTACAGTGATAAGCATTGTGGCCTCACAGTAAGTGGGTTTGAATCAAATGGTGGACTGGTGCCTTTCTGAGTGCAGTTTGCATGTTCTCCCTGTGCCTGTGTGGGTTCTCTCAGCGTATTTCAGCTTCCTCCCACAGTCCAAAAACATGCAAACAAGGTTAACTGGTGATTGGCTGTAGGTGTAAATGTGAGCGTGAATGGTTGTCTGTGTTAGCCATCTGTGACAAGATCGATGGATGTTCTCCTATTTGTAACACCTAAATAGAAAAGCTTTTAACAGAAAAATATTTATGCCAAAATGTTACACTTCATTTGAAATGTAGCATATTCTAGTTTCTAAAATAGTCCCTATTTAGCATGTGGCTAAAACAAAACCCAACCCTAAATTTAGATTGGTTGCTGATGAACCAACAGATGCTAAGAGGCCTTTAAGTCCCATGGCTATGGCCCTTCCAAGGGTAAGAGAGCTGCCATTTTACAGTGCGGAGCCACCTACCTGAAATGCTTTTTGTGGCACAGACTCACAGCCTAGCTTTTCACACACAGCATGAGTGTGGTCTTTTTCTTTCTTCTAATCCTGTTTCTTTATTTTCTTCCTACATCACCATCTCTGTGAATACTTCAAGTATCAGGCTGAGAGAAAATTGCGAGCTTCATTTCATGAATGAAATTTTCAGTGTATTTCCTCCAGCACATATAGGCTCCACTCCCGGTCCATTTTCCCCCAATTTTGTTCAATTTTAAAACCAGAAGTTGTTTGCACAGCTGATGCGGTACTGAGATTTTTAAAAATGGGCGCTGGTCTTGTGAAAAAAATATGCTTGTGTCTTATCATGTGCTAGTGAGTATGTACCTTGAAGGACAGTTTGAAAAAGATCCTGAAAACAGGTTTCTATGAACTTCGATACTTCCTCATTTCAGAAGTATCACAAGCACAAACGTGGGGGGGGACTTCCTCCATGACTTACAAGTACTGTGGAAAAAGTTCCAGCAGTCACACAAGCCTGAATAAAAATTGTTGGTCAACTATTACTGTGAGAATTCTTGTAGCAGTACTTTAGTCATCCTGTGGAAAGGAACAAGATGTTCAACACTCTTCACTCTCTTAAAATCACAATCATCATCAAGGACAGTTCTAACTGTAGCTGTAGACATTTGTGCACATACTAGCAACTCAAGTGTGTTTTAATGGATTATTGTTGAAGTCATGTGTATATTCTTTATGCTAGTTTTGAAAGCAGCGATGCTTACTCTTACTCTTTGATTTGTCTTGTTACAGGTCTTCCCACCCCTTCCTAACGAGGCTGAGATTGCACACACCAAAAAGCTCTTCCGACGCAGGAGGAACGACCGACGGTAAGCCTACACACACACACACACACACACACCTACCTCAGTAAGAGGAAACATTTTTCTGTGTTGGTGTCAGTGCAGTCAGGCCCATAGCCCTGACATCTCTCCCCATCCAAAGAAAAGTTGAGACAGTAATGCAGGTACCACACTCAACTGCAGATGGGGAATAAAGAAAATGCACGGAGGAGACAAGTTTCTCCTCCATTTTCAAGTTGATTAGGTCTCTATAATAAAAAAGTGCCAGCTTTTTAGTCACTCGTTTTTGTGCCTACAATGTTCAAGTAATCTCAAGTCCAAACTAGGTTTCACACTGGCACATCTACTTTAATTGTATACAATGAAATCCAATTTCACCCAAGTCTGACTTCATTGAAACCAGGTCCTTAAAAGAAGAAAAGAAAAAAAAAATCGCTCTCTCTCTCTCACTCTCTGCCCTGATGTCACTGGAAAACTGTTCTTCAGTTGCTAAGCGACCAGCGAAGAGAAAATATTGTGATTGTATTTGTGGTTTAAAAAGAGGAAATTGTCTCTAATTCAAATGGAAAAAAAGCACTTTTATCCTTGTTTTTAAGCTCAGAGGATAATTACTTTTGTCCAGAGCTTTTGTATTTATGTTTGATGGCCGCAGCAGCGAAGGCTTGGCAGAAAGAAAAGAACAAAAATATGGACCAACATCAGTTTGCTTGGGTTTTGGTCTATTTGTTTTTAAATGGGAAATATTAACACAAGACCATCCTGTTTTCTCGTGCACTCTGCTCCCAGGCAGTCTTACAGCTTACATGTTAGGGGAAGTTTTACATAGAGAAACTGCTGGCCTGTGTCTGGTTTATGCACAATTGTCAGGAATTTACACAACTCTCGTCTCATAAATTTGAATCTGCCGCCAACATTTGCATTCAGCCATCTGCGCCTGAATCCAACTGAAAAGGAATAACATTAAACGCGAAGAGGGATCTTGCTAAGAAAACCTTGTCACAACCTTCTGTTAAATTTACATTCATTTACATTTAACCACAATGAATTACTTGGCAAACAGGTTTCTGCTGAATGACTTGTTGATGGTGGACTCTGGAAGTGTATTCACATTTTCAAACCATAAATTTCTTTCAGTGATGAGTGCATGCTGTCAAAGGTGCCACCAGGCTACCACTAGTGCTGTGCAATCAAATTTTGGTATTGATCCAATACCATTATCAATACATGGCCAGTATTACCAATACTGATATTTTTAACCTGCAAAGGCAGCTTGTGTAAGGGAGACCAGGGTATCATACTGTATGAGATGAATTACCTTCAATTCTGAACACATTTTTGTGACCACTAAACCACTGTGATTTTCACTTTCCATACAAAGTATCGATCCTATCATGCTACTATGGGTCTGATGCCAGTGATGCTAGCTACCACCCTAAAGCATCACAGTCACACAGGCCTAGAGGCAGCCCTCTGGAAACATCTAGTTGATAGGGAAAGAAGTACACTCCCCTTTTCACAGTTTCCCTACCACTAGCTGAGTAAGTGGGGGGCGTTTGCAGACAAGTCAACATCTTCCATGCAGATTACAGGTGATTACGGGAATCTGCTAATAACCAAAGCAATCACAAAGAGCTTTTGAGGGCAGCACTTATGCCTCTTTGCTATCAATTTTACCTAGTGACAGCTGGCAACCTCTGCATACTACTCACCAACCAGACACATTTTTCCCTAACGACCTATCGTTGTCAGGGGTCTTTCCCCTAGTGACCGAGGGTTGCTGACCCGGTTGTGTTACTGGGAACTAAACTGTCTGTAAATCTTTTTTGGCCTGACCTTCTTCGGAAGTTGATTAAAAATGAATGATAAACTATGGTTTCTTTCGCCCCTCATAAATCATCTTAATTCACTGTAGTTTAACTCCATATTTTCCCCCTGGTCCTCAGTAAACAACTGCTTTACACTAAAAAGAAGCATCACACAGAAAGCAAAATGAAGCTAAGGATGAAACATGTCAAATGAGGGATGAGGCAGAGGATAAAAAGCTGGGCGGACATGAAATGGGGATCAGTAGAGCTGGAAAAGCAGGGAGCAAAAAGGAAAAAGCCGTGATTGTTCTCACAAGCCAAACATGAAAGCAAATTATTATTTTTTTTAAACAATACAATTATTAATGAAAAAGAAAAGCTGGGAGTTGAGAGAAGAAGAGTGTGGAGTAGAGTTAAAGTGGAATGGCTAAAAGTAGGTGCAGATTTTATATGTAGAGGGTCAGGAGAATGAAAAAAAAAAGTGATATGATTGGGTCATGCCAACAGAGCTACCTATTACAAAGCTAAAAGCCTTTCTACCGACATGTGGTTAGTAAGCAAAGCCAGTTAACAAAGTGAAAGGTCTTTATAAAGCTTAACATGTCTGCTCATCAAATGCATTTACCACATTTGTTTCTTTGTAAAACATGCTAATCTTTTCCTGTAATTGTGCAACTAAACACCAGCAGTCACTGTAAATGCAAACGTTGTATTTAGTGATTTATTTTGTCTAATGTCTCAACACAGCTGAGGTAGGAGAAGGAGAAAAAAAAACATGAGCAAACGTGCTAAAAGCAGAAGATGTTGAAATATGGAAATAATTATTGATCATTTGACTATTTGTCCGAGGCATGCAGGCTGCGCTGAACAAAGCTCAAGAAAGAGAAACAGAGTGGGACTGAGAGATTGAGTAAAGGAAAAGTGTAGGCTGGCTGTGGCAGGAAGGAAAAGAAAGGGGAGGTAGTGCATGTGTTTCTACTTTAGTAGGCACGTCAAGCAGGGCTGAAATTAGTTGTGATTTACTGGAATGTGCTGCTTACCGCTTTCTGCTTCAAAACAGAAAAAGGGGGCAAAGAAAGAGCATAGCAGATCCTTTCTTCATCATACCTTAAAGTCTTTCTTTAAAAAAAACCCATTCTATTAATTAACAAGAAGCTTTTTACACATATTGACTTAATTTTGTCTTTGTTGGAAGAAGTGCACTTTCTCCACAGCATCACTTTAACTGTACTCATGACTAAACAAACAACAAACACTAATCGAGGATGATAAACATCCCATTTACAACATATCATAGCTGAAACCTGTTAAGTGTCATTGGAGCTGTTGAACTGAGAGTTGAAACGATTTAAAAACAGTTTGTGTGGGACTAAATGTCACCGCAATGACTAACAGTTCCGCTATCTTTATGATTTTTATGCTCTCAAATATGAGTAAACATCTGGGGCCAGAGGCATGAAATTGTGCACCAACAAAAAAATACAAAAAGAGAAAACCAGAAATGCACACTTTCTGTTAGATTTATGAAGATGAAAGTAGGCCTGGTTCCGTTTTTATACATCTCAGTTCTAGTACGAGCCTTATGTGCCCTGCTGAACTCACGATTTCATATCAGGGCTTATCCCCGCTCAGTGACTCATTAAGCCTGTGAAGTAAATGCATTGTGTGGCACTTGGCGATGTCTTTGAAGAGCTGTCATTACAAAACGACTGCGATTATTTATAGCACCTGTTTTATCGCGTGTATGCACACACTCACCGGCCACACGCTCGACGCAAATATCTAATCAGCCAATCACATGAAATCATCTCAAACTGGTTTCCTGAAAATGACAATGAGTTCACTGCACTCAGATGGCATGCACAGACTCCAGCAACTGTGTGATGCCGTCATGCCAATATGAGCCAAAGTCTCTGAGGAATGTTTCCAGCAACTTATTGAATCTGTGTCATAAAGAATTAAGGGAAAATGCAAAAGGGGTTACACCCAATACTAGCAAGTTTTAAATAATAAAGTGACCTGTGAGTGTATATGACATGTCATTTTAAGCCAACATCAGGTAAATGAGCCATACTGAATAATTGATAACCCTCCTATTAACCATAGCCAATATTTTGAGGGTTTTCCTTTTGTTTTGTTAACTAAATAGTCAAAATTATTTAATGTGAGTGATTCTCAAATTTAGAGTGATGGAAACTGCAAAATTATTTTTAAAAAAAATCATCAACATAGAATGCATTATACAGAAAATGGTGTGTGACAGACATCTGAAAGAGGTCTGCTGCTTCTGCACCCACCATGAAACGCCTGCTTTACTGAGTGTAATCAATAAAAGCTCTGCATGCATGTATGCACACACGCTCAATATGCTTTGGACTTTTAAATCTCAAGACTTAGCAATGCAAATATTCAGTCAAGCAGTCGAAACCCATCTCCCCACAGTCCATTAGGCCAGCGTGTTGTGTTCTTTATGAAGCTTTGGCCCCGTTATTGACTCGTCTGGCCTCCGGGTGTCTTTCCCCTGGGCCGATCAATTGTCCAGTCTGGGTCAGCCGGTGGTTCCATGAATTCTCCATCCACATAACCGTGCACGGCAACAGTCGTGATTGATCATCAGCATCCTGCCTCCTCCAATGATCATGTCTGGCCATTAATTTCACCTTTTTAGTTACCTTAGCATTCTTTCTGTAGTTTTGTGCCTGTTGATTTTATGACCATTATCAACCTGTAGTTTTTGTTTGTTTCCCTCTTTGCCGCTTTGCTTTTCCTTCTCTTAAAACCTTCCGTTTCCTCCTTTTACGCTCTCCATTAAATCCCCCCTGCTGTTTTCTACAAACTGCTGCCACTGTACTCAACTCTTCATCCATCCTTCCAATCACCTGCACTGTGGCATCCCCATCTCTCTTGTCTGTAGAGCATTTGATCAGTTCACCCGAGACCAGTTAACCGTACTTCTGCCTACTGGCCCAGGGGGAAAGCGTCAAGTCTGCGCCAGGTTAGTGACAACATAAGAAAGATGCTCAGAACAAGACCTGAGTACAAAACGGTGGAAAGTGCATTTGATTGATTCTACTCAAGACACCCAGAGGTCAGATAATGGTGTGGTACTCACCCCCCCCCCTTCAATCAAACACACAAATGGCTCCATATAATGAGGAGGTGGAGCCCGCCAGGCAACATCAAACACTAATTTAAACCGGTTAATACCTTCATATTACCAAACTCATCATCCTCAGACAAAAAAAAGAAGTAATTTCTCATTTCATTAGAAGCTCGGTCACGCCAGAGTCAGGTCTGTTTCCAAGTAACAAGACAGTGCGAGATGAAATTTCATCAGTGGCCCCATCCCTAATGCAAACATCTCTTTGGCATTAATATGACTGATGGGCGGTCAATCTGAGCAACGCTCTCTCTACCGCAGAGCTCACAGTCATTAAATATGATTTACATTTTATTTCATTCTCACTTTCACCCCTCATCACCAACACCAGTAGATCAGAATGGATTAGTGTTGAGCCTGAACTAACAGCTACTGTAAATATCTAATGAATCAAATCAGAGTATATGTGTGTCTGTGTGTGTGTGTGTGTGTGTGTGTGTGTGTGTGTGTGTGTGTGTGTGTGTGTGTCAAAGACAGACGTGTCATATTCCTCAGCTCTCTTGTCTTGCAGTGAGCAGCTTAGCAAATTAAACATCATCATTAGCACTGAAGTCCTAATCCGTAAGGCATCTGATTCTTTAGTCTTAAACCTACAGTAAATACCCCTCAGGTGTAAACTCTCTCAAAAATAGAACTGCAGGACCATCTGTTTACAGCTCAGCCTAATCAAAAATGTAAAAAATAACTTGGACACCAAAGCGGGGACTGTTAAATTGGTCGCTCACAATGACCATAAGCCAGATAATTTAGTGATTAAAATAAAGCACTGGTTAAAAAAATAAATATATTTTTTTTAAATACAGGAAAAGTTACAGGGTAATTTTTTGATGCAAAAGAAAATCATTCCTGTGAAAGAGGCGCTGTCGTTCTTTACAGAGGGAACCGCTTCAACCTCCCAGAGAGTGGAGGAGGGAGGCCGGGCGAGACATAAACCACATGAACACACGCACAAAAACGATAAATACGTTCACACAAACACTCCTTTACCGAGAGAGCTGCCAGACAGGAAAAAAAGCTAATTGTTTTTTTTATTACTGATGGAATCAATTATTTGTAGAAAAAAATTCCTTAAATATCATGCACAAAACTCTCTCCCCAAACCATGAATATTTCAGTTTACATTGCTTTAAAACAGAGAAAGCCGATCCTCACAGGACAACCTTGATCCAGCAAATGTTGGACAACTAAGCCTTAAATCCAACATAAAGTCTGTTGTGCTTTGTAATTTATTTAGTAACTTAACAGGCTATGCCTATCAGCGTGCCACTACCAGTTAATTGAACCATTTAAGTCAGGGGTGTCAAACACGGCCCGGGGGCCAGAATTGGCCCAACAGAGACTCCAATCTGGCCCACTGGATGGTTCTGAAAAATTAGAAGGACGGTGTCAATTTTAGACATTTAACTTCGTAGGTTTTACAGAGTTTGCTGCTGACAGACCTCCTCCACAGCCATTTATACGACTTAAGTATTTAAGTAATAGATTAAAAAAAATTCAGTGAGAGAAATATTTCTGGGGTTTATTGCTTTTTTTTAAAAAAAACAATGGTTTCAAAGTTAAAAAAGGACATTTTCTGTGAATTAACAAAAACTTTCTGTTCTGTAACTTTGCACATTTATTAACTACATTTTAAGCCCAAAGAGTCACGCTGATAGATTTCTTTCAACTACAGAAGTGTAGAAAAACTAAATATAAATAAATAATATCATGAAATATCTGAGCGATTCAATGTGTAGTTAATCGTCTATACATGGACAGACAGGTGAGTGGTGTGACCCACCATGTACGCAAAATGAGTTTGACGTTCCAGATTTAAGCTATTATTTAAATTGTCCTTATGCAGCACTTTTATACTGTAACTGAACACTCTTAGTGCTTTATACAACTTGCCTCATTCACACGAGCATAATTTTTATCCTTTTTTTGTTTTGTTTTTTTAAACGCTAGTGCTTTCTATCTAACATTCATACTCCAAAGGATACATCTGAGTGCAGCTTGGTTTTAGTCTGTTGCCAAAGGATATTTGACGTGCAGACGGGAGCAGCCAGGGATCAAACCACCGACTTTCTGATTAGTAGATGACCCGCTGTACCTCCTGAGCTACAGCCGCCCCACCCCTCCACCATGACGTTTCATTGTATACGTTTTACTGGGTTCATGTACAATAGTTAAACAACCGTATAGATGCTAATTTATAATATTTGGCAACTAGCTACTGTTCATTTGCAAGTAAAGTTTGTAACCACCTACACCAATATGCTAAACATACTGATTTCATTTCCTTCATTTACAGATCACATCAGTCAAAAATTAACATTAAATTGCCTACATGGATACAGTTAGGTATATCTAAACAAATGCTTGCTAGCTGCTGCTACCCTTTGAGCTAGTTCACTGGCTGAGGCAAATAATAGGTTGCCTTCTCAGTGCCAGGGTGACTAATCCCTTGGACCATATGTCAGCGGCTTGTCAAGCCCAGAGCCAGTGCAGCAAAAGGACACAGCAATGCAGGACAGGAAAACACAGACACACTGTGCGTCCACATGTAAGCAGGCACTGGGCTTTTGATTTTCTAGATGTAGTTCAGTAGTGGTGGGTTAGTGCTTTTGTGTAGAGGTTCTCACAAGAATAATGTTTGATCTTTGTGAGAAGGTGCGTCACAGTGTCACAGAGCCGTTTAAGATATAAGGCGGCTGCCATTTCATTACACTGCACCTAAAACTTGCCCTCATTTCAGGAAACAGCAGCGGCCTCACGGCGGCGGAGGTGGCGGAGGAGGGAAGAACCAGCCTCAGTCACCGCAGCAGCAGAGGGATCAAAACCAGCAGCAGTCCCCAAACCAGCAACAGCAGAGTTCAGCAGAACAGGGAGATAACAGAAACACTTGTGCCGGTCGACCCCCACGCCAATATCAAGGAGGACATGGGCAGCGCCAAGGAGGGCCCTTACATCACGGATACAGCCAGAACCGGCGTTGGCACAACAATCAGAAAGGTCAGGGGCATGGACAGACAAACACTACCGGTGATAAAGGAGTACCCCCAAGAACAACCAAAGACAAAGAGACTGAGAATGTAAAACTGGGTGACGAGCACATGAGACCTCTTCTAGATTGCAGCAGCAAGAGTCTCAGTGAGTCACCCAAATCTGACTCGACGGCAAACACGACCGCTTTCGCCGATCTGACGGCTTACAAGGAATTTCCCAACACACCGCAAAGTGGAAAGGCAAGCGAGGGCCAGTCGGAGCAGCCCAAAATCTGCCTTCTGCAGTCGTCAAAGGAGAGGCTGAGGAGGAGACTAAAGGACAAGGTACTGAAAAGCTGCTTAGTGACTGTCAGTCAGTATTAAAGCAACAAGAACCGATGTGTATATACACACACAAACACAGTCACACGACACCATTTGCTCTCATGATTACCTTAATTAAGTTCAAAAACATGGGTGCACTGTCATTATGTACACACATGGAGAAACACTTTCCTCCCTGCCTTGCTTGTCTGTTCATTTTTACAGCATTCAGGTTGAAACACACACCCAGACTGGCAGGGAGGGGAGCACATGTTCTCACTAAGGAGGTGAAGGAACTAAACCAGCATTAGCTTAACAGTTTTTGATGTTTTCCACTGTGCCCCAAACTGACGAGTTGGCCAACTGTAGCTGCCCCCCTACCCCCCCTTTTTTTTCTCCTTACAGCTAATTCATTACCACCAGGAGACCATTGATTTGACAACACGGGACTTCCCAAGATGCAGCAAGGCAGGAATTAGTAAATATACCCTCTGTGATGCCAGTGAATCAGTGAAACCAGTCTAGAAGGGAACTTTTGGTTGATGGGATGCACCGAGAAATACATCTAATGTTTGCATCATCGTTGTTTGCAATAACGTTTTTTCCTAACTGGTGACAAAACCTGGTGTATTCGCAACATTTTGCAAAACCTTGACTGGGTTACAAGTCACGCGCTTTCAGCAGGGCTACACAATCTGTTGCTTGGCAGTAGTCTGATTGCAGACGATTTTAAATCACATATATTTTGCTACAACTCTGCGTGCACACGGCGAGATGAGCAGGGAACAGGTGGAAGGTGAATTTATTCATCTAATACGAGCAGCAGCAGGGCCTCCCGCTAGATCAGACTCAATTTTTTACTTTTTTTTTTTCCCCAATACTCGAGCCACCTGAAATCGAGTGAAATGAAACGGCCACCTTGCTGCTCATGCTGGCCTCCTCGCATCAGTTTCTGCCAGGATTCCTCTGTGGCGAGAGGGATGGGGCAGGTGGGCCCGTCCTATTTCTGGTCACCAGTTTAGGAGGTGCATCTCTGCAACCCTTTCCCTGCTTTGTTAGAATGGTAGCTGAGCAAGGGAAACACATTATAATTGTGCCATGAGTCACCACCTTTTAAATGATAACGAACCCACTGCCTGCTTTGTTCTTTTCCCTCCTTTCACTCATACTCCTACACTTTTTTTCCCAGTGGCATTGACAGTTAACAATGGAAAACAATGTGTAACAATACAGTTAATAATACAGTTAATAGGTACAAAGGCTCAATGTAAGAAAAATGGATATACCTGTGATTTATCTCTATTTTTCTAATCAGCTTAATTATAAACATAGTTATAAACTTGCCTTTGAACCAGAACGTTATTGGAAAAGGATATAGGAAAACTGGAAATACCGTATCAGTCATACCTGCCTTGGCTCACTCTATGTCTACTGAGCCAACATAGCAATAATCGGAGCCAGGGTGGCTATCCACTTAAAATGACACCCCAGATAGTGCTCTATGTGAAAAATCTTGAGTGGTTATGAATGTAAATTAGAGTTTCTGTGACAATTTCTGTGGGAGTGTCAAGGACATTGCATGATAGAAGAGGAATGTTTCAGCAAAAAAAAAAAAAAAAAAAATCATCATATGACAGCTTATAAAGAAGAAAATGTTGAAAGCTGTGGCCCCTGTACGTCACTGAACTTAACTGCTGACCCTTTTTCCACTGACCAAGTCAGTCAACCCAGTACAAGAAGTGTCTGTACCCAAACATGGAACTGTCAGAGGTTATTGGGATGTGTTTCAACGAGAAATGTAACAATGACTGGCACTGAAGCCAGGACTTTTTCTCCGCTGTGAGAGAACTTAGTAAAACAGAAAAAACCCAAAACAGAAAAGTTCAATGGTGTTTAATTTCACATGAGAGATCATTACTAGTCAGAGTAATGCATCACTGTGAAACTGTACCATTTTTGAAGCATTTGCTATTTAAGCTACAAATGAGCTTTAATATGTCTGTCCACATATTCAGGACTTTAACTAGAGCAACTGTTCCCTAAGGAAAGAAACATGACGTATAAACTTCCTAAACATTCTCATTAACTCAACTTGCTTTGTCATTCATCGCAACTCATGTGTCAGATTAGCTGACATTTATTTCTCTGTAGGAACATCTGATTTGTGTTAAAATCTACTGTGCTCTGAATCTAATATCATTATCCTCACCAACCACTTACATGCATTATCCCGTCTTTCCCCTCAGGAGGAAGCATGCGTGCAGCAGTCGGGCCCCGGATCACGGAATATGGACCGACTAGTGGCGCTTCTCAACAGCATGAGGAGCAACAGCAGTGGAGTAGAGCAACAGCTGGCGTCCTTCATGGAGGAGGCGCAGTCCTCAGCCCGTTCGGAGGAAACCCTCGCTCAGGTGGTCGGCGCGATCTACTCCAAGGCCGTGTCGGACAGGAGCTTCGCGGCAACAGCTGCGAGGCTCTGCGACAAGATGGCGCTGTTCATGGTGGAGGGGACCAAGTTTAGATCGCTGCTGCTCAACATGCTGCAGGTGAGATGACAACAACGGCGTCCAAAGCTTATCCTGGCTCCTTAATGTTTTCTCTAAATACTGAAGCAGGTGTAATTTATTTATTTATTTATTTATTTTTTGGGGGGGGGATTTTTTTAAATAGTAACTTTTACTGAAAAAACGTTGTGTGCTAAACTGTTCTTAAAAAAACAAGTGTTTGCAGCCATGTGCAATGAACTTGAGAGCCTGTTGCCTTTTGAAATAGCTGCTTTGAAGATGGGGATGAGGTCTGTGACCACTTGCAGTTAGTTAGTGTTTTTAAAACAACGTTGTTGCATCAAAAAAGGCAGATGGAGTCAGTCAGTAAGTCTGCAAGTGAATGGGGTGGCATTGGCAATTGTATCCAATCTGTTTGTGAGAACATGAGTAACTATGATAAACTGGTCAAAATGATAAATCTGGTAAATCTGAATTTAGATATTTTAAATCCATGTCACACTGTTGAGCTTCCAGCTAAACCATTTTTGCAGTTAATCATTAAAAATTAAGCAGAAAACAGTTTCATATTTAATTGTTTGTAGAGCAACAAAACCTCTAGTCTGAATCATTTTTTATATATTTTGGGAATAGACTAAACACTTTTAATTGATTAACCAAAACAGCATTTTCAGATGAAGCAATAATGACCCAGAAAATCTTTTGTCCAGTCTATTGCTTTAATGTTTGAATCCCCCTGACTGTACCTGCCATTTTATGCCTTGAAATGCATGAGTTATTGTAAACAAGAAGTTTAAATGAGCATTAAACATCATATTTTATACTCTATGTTTTAACACAGAGGTAGGCAACTCCAGGCCTCGAGTGTCGGTGTCCTGCAGGTTTTAGATCGCACCCTGGGTTAACACACCTGAATCAAATGATTAGTTCATTACCAGGTCTCTGGAGAACTTCAAGAAATGCTGAGGAGTCGTTTAGCCCTTTAAATCAGCTGTGATGGATCATGGACACATCTAAAACCTCCAGGACACCGGCACTCGAGGCCTGGAGTTGCCTACCCCCGTTTTAACATAATAATCTGTCATTTCAGCAGCTACTTTCAAGCTTTGCTTTTTTGAGAACGTTCAGGTGGAAGCCCACTGTGTGTGTTTGTGTGTGAGACGCCGTAAATGTCAGTGGGCACAGCAGCTAATCTAAACACCCAGGGGGGAAGAAAGAAACCCGTTCCCCCTTTTTCCTCTCCGTGTCTTCACTTAACTGCACCGTTCCAGTCTCGCACCCTCCGTGAAAACATCCCCTTCGCCGTTGCATACTTCACTCCCCCTTCCTCCTCATCCCTCATGAGCTCTGTATTCCAGAGCTGCCCCATCTTATCACCCTCCCCTCACCTAGAATGACACAGGCCACTGCCTCACTACTTCATCCTGCATAGTTCCCAAGTGCATCTCTCACCCGCCAAACTTTTCCTTTCGCCCTTCGCAAACTCCTGAGAGCAGCAGACAAACTAGAAGTAGACATACAACACATCCTTGATGCCGGCAAGGACTAAATGTTAACCCATCCGCTTCTATGCCCCCCCCTGTACTCCTACGCTCTTCTTTTTCCTCCTCCCTTGAGCTTTAGTGTTTTTCCACCTCTTCCTTTAGATGCTAAACTTGTTTTTATCCCAAATCCAGCAGCAGTGAATCTTGCCTTGATCCTTTTACACCCCCCCCCCCCCTTTTTTTTATTCACCCCCTCTTCATCTCAGCTGTCAGGTCCCTTCTTTTCTTTTATTCCTCACTTTAAAATCCACTTCCTAGCTAGCCAGCCAGCATGCCCCCCCTCCCCCCTTGTCTTTGACATTTTGACTTTTTTTTTTTTTTGCTTTAAAACATTTTAAATGTCATAAGTGGGCTCATGAAAGCTTTAATTAATGATGCTGCTTTCAGGCCCCTGGATCTCAGTATGGGGTGGAATTACTGTGCGTCTGCTGTGGCTTTGCTTGAACATAGTCAGACTTTCTCATAATGAAATATTTAACACAGCTCAGAAGTCCCAGGGGCCCCTTTTTGTCTATTACTGTTGACACCTTTTGATATTATAATATGATATGATAATTTGCTGAATCATTTTAGTTTAATTTTGAGCGCGTGTTGCGCTTGTTTTTAAATGGGCGGAGCTTCCTGCCAAACCTCTTTACGTCTCCGTTGTTTGTGCACAGGCAGACTTTTAGTGTAGCCGTTCAGCAGCCCAACAGGCAGCAGAGCGAGCGGCTCTGATTGTTGATAAAGTTTCACTTTAATCTGCTGAATAACATCTTTACAAGTGCACATTAAGCATTAACACATATTAACCCCGGCACTTTAACAGCACCACACAGTTCACCACACTTCACTTTCAAACTAAATTAACACACTCGCATCCACTTCTGGCAGTTAAAAGAAATTTGGGAATTTTTTTAATGCATTTTCAAGCTGCTTTTTGGCTTCAAGTACGTTGAGGAACAAGGTTAATATATGTGCCACCTACCAAAAAATCCCATTAGAGAGATGGAAAAGTTGTTAATAATGATTAATGGTTCTGCCAGGAAGATGGTTAACCATCTTCACTTATGAATTTAACACCTACCTACCCACTGCCTACTTGTACTACACAGCTACTGAAGCTGGATAACCGGGAATGTTTCAGTGTGTTTTCTAAACTAACCAAGCATCCTTTTTCCACTCAGAGGGATTTTTCCTGTCGCGAGGAGCTCCAGCAGTCAGATGTGGAGCGGTGGTTGGGTTTCATCACCTTCTTGTGCGAAGTGTTTGGTACCATGAGGAGCTCCGGCGAGCCGTTCAGGGTGCTGGTGTGTCCCATCTACACTTGTCTACGAGAGGTTTGTATCTGTTTTCTTTTAGGTCACTAGCCAAAATTATCAACCCCTTTCACGCTTTTCGAATAAAAGAAAGTGCCCGGCTGCGTCTCTGTATCGTGCTTGCTCAGTTCAATACATGCACTGAATCAGAGTTTCCTGTTTTTGGCCAGACTCAGTCTAGACTCTTGAAACCACAGCTCTGTTTGGTTAGTGGTGCAAAAACAGCCAGGACACCATCAGTTCCAGTAAAATTTTGTGACCCCAGGTTCACTTCTCATCAGCTGGTCTTGCTCACTTAGACACGGTCTCTCGGTCTCCATGGAAACCATTAAGGGAAGCCGCAGCAGACGCACGGCGATACAGAAGTGGTTAATGACAAATGAAATACTGAAAGGGGAAGCAAGCGAGGTGAGGGAGGTGAGGGGAAGTGGGGGAGACTGTGGCTCAGGTTGACTGTCAACTCATGGCACAACAGGTAAAAAAGAAACCAGCAGAGAGGAAGCTTGGTTTTAATACAGGGTCTGAACGAGAGAGGAAAAACAAGGTCAGGTGTAGGAACTAGTCTGAACACTGTCCAAAAATACACATCCACAAAATAGCATCACTGCTTGGTTAGGTACACCTGTTCAACTGCTCCTTAACGCAAGTATTTAAATCAACGAATCACATGGCAACACTAAGTCAAATAACTGAATAAGGCTGTGAGGGTTAGTGTGTATTCCCTTCAATGATCGCAGTAGGCATTAACTCACAGAGGCAGACTCCACTTCTTTTGCTAGCGGCAATTTTTCAAATTCTTCATCCCACATTTAGCGGTGAGTTGAACAAACGTCCACCGCAGACACGCATTTCGAACCACATAGAATAACATGGCATTCACAGAGGGAACATGAGAATCAAAACAATTGGGATTTATAAGAAATCCATTTTAAAAAGACGGAGAATTAAAAATTGCTGTATGTGTGACAAAGTTTCATTCAGATAGGCCCACCCAATAAGGAGGAGATGGGGCAGAGACAGTCATACGTACACTACAGTCGTTATAGTAAGATTCTTTATGATATTTCCTTTGTTGTTTGTATCTTCTTAATGTGATTTTACATTAACAAATTCTATCATCTGCTGCACCACATGCAGCTGTGAGATGAAGTTCTATTTGTTGTCGGATCAGCAGAAGGAGAATGAGGTTTGGTTGCATGAGTGAGAGGAGATAGAAGTGAACTCTATACGGAACAAAAGGATTCGTGTAATGACACTTCAAACCTCCCCGCATCTGATTTGAAAACATATCGTCCAGCCCTCAGGGAGACAAGTAATTTTTTGGCATCACTGGAGAACATTTCCTCATATTGAAATTCAAGTGGGGTAATTGGAGACCTCTGCACCCCCTTTTTTTGTTCTGTTTTTCCAGGCATTAGAAAATCTAGCCAGTGAGATCTTAGCCAAGCCCCAGATCAAGTGATGTAGTACAAAAGGAGCAACAGCCCAACAGTCGGAGCTGGTTAAACAGAGGACCTCCTCGCAGGCAAAGAGGCGTCAGCCTCCCAGCATCTATGCTGGATATTTGGTGACATTATTTTTAACTCCTACACAGTGCGTGCATTTTTCTGGTGAGGGTGGAGGGCTGGATTCTGAAATTCAGCTTTTGTTTCACTTCCATATTTCTAGTGTAGTTTGAACACACCTGGCGTCTCATTAACAAACAAAACAATCGCAAACAGTTTAAGCCATCCACACCCTGTCTGAGGGTATGCCCAGGGCTTTATCTCAGGCTTGTTAAAAGGCTCAACAGCATGACCAAGGGTGGGGACTAACCAGTCAGCAATACACACAAACACGCCTCTTTAATCTACATCAGCAGTATGAAGGGAGCCCCGAGAAGACTAGAGGTCAGAAGGCGCCTGTGAACAACTTAAACACTAATAATGAGGATATATGGTGTGTGTGTGTGTGTGTGTGTGTGTGTGTGTGTGTGTGTGTGTGTGTGTGTTTTTTTTCAAGCCCACATAAACGGTCTAATAATCAGTTTCCTAGAGACAGTCTTCGTGACTTTGATCTGGCCGCTGTTTTGATTGTCCTGTTGTAACATGTGATTGTCAGATTCTTGCTACAAGCTATGTGCAATAGGTGTTTGCATATGCACACGCACACCCGCCTTATACATGCGGTCTAAGTGTTTGCATATGCATACATATGTCCCTGCAGAGGAGACACTTCTCCAGTAAACGTAGCCTGCACAACAGGATCAGGTAACAGCAAAGGTGTGTTAGTGTTTGGGCTTAAATGCCAGCTCCTATAGCCAGAGCAAATTAATGAGTGCTGATCCCATCCATTAATAACTGACAGGCTGCTATAGCTCCAATCAAATGGAAGATTTGCCCCACACAGAACAAACTAAAAGACATAATCCTCAAGTAAAATTAAATTTAAAGCACACCTTAAAACGAATGACTTTTTTCCAATTGACACATCCTGCCATTACAGAGCAATATTTGCATTTGTTTGAGTCCTACTTTTGACTCAAGCTCCAGGACCTGCTGTCCTGTTTTAGCTCAGTTGATCTGTGACTGCTGACCAACTAGCTGCTTTTTTTGCTAGATTAAGTGACCCGTTCTACAGCTGTGCATGCGTTGTAGCACAATTAAAATGACACGTTCATCTATCTTTTTGTCTCTTGGGCTTACTTCTTTTTTAATATGTTGCCATGGTAACAAAGGTTGGCAAAAACCCTTCAGGTCAGAACTTAATAAAAATCATATAAAAGATTTTTGACTTGGACCTTTAGCCTTGAGGTAAAGCAACATTCTTTGTGTACCAGTAATCATACACACTACCAATTATTGAATCACGTGAGTTCAACTCTGTTATTTTCAAATGAAGGGGAAAAACTGTGATGCAGTGTGGCTCATGATTCTACCCCAAAAGATCATCATGTCATCATGTGACCCATAGAAGTTGCCATCAGGATATTGGTTTGCAGTCACTCCTGGTAGACAGCATGTACATACCCTCCGGTGGTGACATCAGGACCTATTTATATGGTATCTTGGCTTCCCTCTTAGAAAGCTACCAGTAGCTGTTTACTAACTTGTTCAGTGGATTTTAACTTTTTCCCCCATTAAGATTTGACAACCTCTGTATTCTTAATGACAAGTTGACACGTCAGTATGTATTAATAAAGACGTGGTTAGACGATCATTAGAATAGTTTCCGCTCACTTCTGATGCACACTCAGTCATTTTGTTCTATGACAGAAACCACTCAGTTCAGAAGACAGCTTTCAGGGTTTTCAAGGGGGGGAAAGTTTAACAGTCTTACATTGTTAAACTCTGTATTATTGTAGGTGTTTACCTTACAGTATAAAGTGCCTTGAGGCAACTGTTGTTGGGATTTGGTGCTACATAAATAAAACTGAATTAAATTAAATTATAACAGATACCAGACAAATATGGGGCTGGTCCTGAAGCGTGAATTCCAGTTTTGTCTACTACGTCAGAATCCTTCGAGTTTGTGTGTTTTTAATAAAGCATGTTTCGCTCTGCTTCATCCCGTGCTGCAGTTATTGAAGATACAACCTTGAAGATACACTAATGCAGCGGCCCCCAACCCCCGGGCCTCGGACCGGTACCGGTCCGTGAGTCGTTTGGTACCGGGCCGCGAGAGTTGAGGCTCAGGTGTGAAATGTATGGTTTTCAGGGTTTTTATCGGTTTTCAGTGTTATTTTGTTATCGTTTTTATCGTTAACTCGGTGTCCCTGGGTCTTTTCCCCTGTGTTATGAATAAATCTTCTTTTTTTCGGTACCGGTACTAGTTTTATTTTGTTGTATTTATCCGCGACACCTTAAAGGCCGGTCCGTGAAAATATTGTCGGGCATGAACCGGTCCGTGGCGCAAAAAAGGTTGGGGACCGCTGCACTAATGCACATGTGAAGTCCAAACTCATTTAAGTCACTCACAGAGCCGTGTTTGGATTTATTTCTTCTCTTCAGTGCTGTGAAACAATCAAAGGGAAAAAAAATAAGACGGCTGTATTTTCTAATCCTGATGTCTTTTAAATAAAAATACTGTAAATGGAAGTCGCACAGAATCCCGGGTTTTCCCATGGCAGTAAGATTAGTTTCTTGATGATATAACCAACCAGACATCCGAGTGTTTTCAGCTTCAGCCGGAGAGACTGAGTGTTAAGCTGTCTCTCAAAAACTTTTTTTTTTTTAAATGCTGATTTTTCAGCTGGAACACACCATGTGTTACGGTGCAGCAGTGACAGGAGAGAGAAGAGAGGAAAAGCTTATTGCAACGGATAGGAAAGCCGATGATAGATGAGTATAGATTAGATCGTTATAAGTGTATTGAACAAAACTTCCTCCCTCGGTTCCCCGGGGAACTCATTATGAGCTAATCCCGCTTGTCACATAGTTCTCCTGCTCTGGAAAAGGACGGGACTTGAGTTTCCACATCAAACAGCCACACTGTCACCACACCCATCTGAGCATACTGAGGAGCTGACGTCTGAGCAACTGTTGGACCTAAATGATAGGTGGAATACCATTAAGCTTACAGTGTGGAAATAAGAGGCCTGCTCACAGTGAATGTGGAGCATAGCATCAAATGGTGGAGGATTACTTTTTTTTTTTTTTTAAATGTTTTTACCTCTGAGGAGTCAGACATTTGAATGACTGGTTTTGATCACAGCGTCTTTCCTAAAGCATGCATTTAAACAGGGTTTGGTTTGTCTGCTCAGTTTTAAAATGAAAACACAGTGATCGTGTTATTTAGCTCTGAAATACTGAAGTTGGGTTACTTGAGTGGGTTGGAGTCTCTATGATGCATTCTATCTAGTACTCACATATTATATCATTGCCGTTTTTATAGTGAACTTATTCATACAAAATTGTTTGTTTTAATCATTGAATAGCTTCAGAGCAACATGAGCCTTTATGGAGAGTCAGTCTGCCATTTTTTTTAAACTTCCAGTTTTAAGATGCACCAATTCCTGTGTGAAATATCGGGATTTGGCAACTTCATGCTGCTCTCTGCCCATCAGCTGGTTGCTAATTCTGTCTGTCTGCAGTCTGGTAGCATGCAGTGGGTTTAAAAAGCTTTTCTTTTCTGTTTTTTTTTAAGAGTGAGCCAACACTGCTAAGCTGTGGGACAGTATGTTAGGTAATACAGATTCAGGTGATAAACCATATAAGAGATTGAACATTTTTATATACAGTTGGCATTGAAAAACAAATTGGATTTATGGGTCGTTCTCCTGAACAAGGTGATGTCCTGTTTATTCCCTCCGTGATCTCACTTATTTTTTCCTTTACTCTGTCGCTGGACGGCGCATTGATACGTGACAGTATTTTCCTCATTTTCAAAACACGCTCCCCCCTTCCTCCATGGTACTTCCTTCCCTCCATCAGTTTAATCAAAGCAGAGCTTTGTAAACAGTGTTATGAAGACTAAGGCAGCATTAGAGTTGAGCATTTAGCCAAAGTCGCTTCTGCTGTAAACTGAACCTAGAAGCTCGTATTCTGGCATAATGTTATTCTACCTCTCTCTGCCTGCATTGTTTCAGGGGAGTATTTGTATGCCCATCTGTGCATGCGGGCCGGCATTGGTGTGTGTGTGTGTGTGTGTGTGTGTGTGTGTGTGTGTGTGTGTGTGTGTGTGTGTGTGGTAGTGGGTGGGAGGGGGCTAGCATGTTTACCCAATCCACTGTTTGTTTTTGGCCACGCTGTGTGTTTACGTGTGTGTGCTACTGCGTGTGTATGTACATTGTGCGTAAAGGAAGGCATGATGTGTGATGTTTGCTGGCAGCCTGGAAGCTCAGTGTGTTGTCTTCCAGGATTTAAAATGTTAATGTCAAAAATATTTACAATCAGGATTAGGTCCCTCCCCGTTTCTTTGTGAACTCATGAACACATTTTTCTGTTCTCTTCATCAAGTGGTTTAAATCAGTTTTTGTATGTATACAGTGCATCTGCCATCATTTCTACTGTGCTACTTCTGGAGTTGTGTTGTGCTAGTTTGCGCAGCCCTTTGCTTTGTAAGTCTTACAGTGTCTGTTCTTGTCCTTTGCAGCTGCTAGAGTCGACGGATGTTAAGGAAGACGCAGTCCTCTGCTGCTCCATGGAGGTATCAATGCATAATTACTTAAAGTCAAGTCTTCATACTCAAAAGTCAAACTGGCCCCTACAAACACAAGTGCTCGCCTATACAGACACCACAGACTGTATAGAGATTGACAGACCACGTGACTTTCGCGCATTGCATTGTAGGTACGACTGGCAGCAAAATCAAAACACTGCATCAAGCGTTAGCATTTCCAGCACCGGTAATCATTAATTCTGCGGTTTTAATCCCTACTTGCATTTTATTTGCCCCTAAAACAGTTATGTACAAAACGACGGAGAACACATTACTTGAAAACAGTTATTCATCACTTGATTGCTTCAATACAACACTTTGGGCACATATATGCGGGACTTTTCGCGGCTGTTTTTATATCGCTCTCTCACTTAACCGATCAAATCTCGCTGTGGTAGCAGCTTTAAACTCGGTATGACCCAGGTTGATAGAGGGGGCCCAGTCTGGATCGCCACAGTGAACAAAGCAGCATAGTGCAACAAATTCAATTCAAATCAATATAAGACTTATTTGTAACCCTCATCAACAATTATGTTATGATAAATTATGTAATAACTACAACAGAAGCCATCAGTCGGCTCTTTGTTACTTCGGAAACATGGCTTGAACAATTTCTCTTCCACGACAGAATCCGATAAAAAACGATCTCCTTACCCGTCGGCTTCCCATGGCTGTCATGTGACCGGCTATTGCAGTTAATAATGCCATTCTTTGTTTCTTTTTATCGTTGTGTGACTGTTTTCTTATGAAAGCCTGCGTGCCCTAGTACCGCTTGCCACTCGTACCTACAATCCTTTGCGGTTTTACCCCGGAAATTACATCACATTTTCGATCTCTATACAAAAGATGGATATAGTCAGTCATTGGTTTCTGGATTTGCATATTGAAGCCTTAATTTGAGCATTTTTGCTGCGTAGTGTTTCTAAAACTGGGAAGCAAAACTATATGCTTATCAGTAGCATTATCAGTCGAAGCATAACTAAATTGTACTCTGCAGATGGATTTAACATCACGAAAGACTTGAAAGTAGCGACCACAATCATAAATTTATTAGGAAAGAATTTACTCAGGTCATAAATGTGGTATGCAGATGGCCCGTTTTCCCATAGACTTCTATACATTTGAACTTCTTGTTGCAACAAGACTAGTCGCCCCCTGCTGGCCATAAAAGAACACAGTTAAAGTACCTAATTGGCTTTGCAGTGGGTTTTTTAGACCAGAGGCTGTGTGTTTTTTAAACGAAGCTAGCAGGATGTAAACGTAAAAACACAGAAATTTAGCCCCCTGGAACAACTATCTTGCAAACTATATCAGGGGTCTTGTTATCAGGGGTGGGTGGGGTGGGGGCGAATACAGTCTGCATCACCCATAGAGCCACAGCCTCCACATTTAATGGGAAATCTGCCAGGCAGCAATAAATCCTTTAAACGGCAGAAAGTAATACCTAGAACTAAGGCAGGTGAGCTCTGATTGGAAAAGAGTTCCCAGATGCTCGCAAACACAATGTTTGCAGTCTTGATTACATACTGGCAGCCTCGGCATGCACACATCTCCATGGCCAGAGGGTGTGTGAACCTCTGCTTGTCTGACTGTATCCACAATAACAAGGTGCCAGACATTGTGTCTTGTTCTCAGTTAAGGACGCACACACGCACTCTTTTCTCTGACCTCCTACCTCTTTACTCCCCCACCCTCCCTTCCTTGTCTCTCCACCAGCTGCAGAGCACAGGCCGACTGCTGGAAGAGCAGCTCCCCGAGATGATGACAGAGCTCTTAGCAGCTGTCAGAGACAAGATGCTTTGTCCCGCCGAATCTCCGCTAACTCGCTCTCTGCTCATGGAGGTCATCGAACTGCATGCGCACCGTTGGAGCCCCCTGGAGGCTCTCACTACCCAGTACTACAACCGTACCATCCAAAAGCTCACCACCACTGCCTAGGTGCCAGCTCCCACAGGAGAAGAGGAGATGTGTCCTCCTCACCCCAACACAACAGATGTTTTCTGGTTATGCATTGTAATAATCTCTGTTGCCTAAAGAAGTAAATGTCGCTATTGAGCTTAACTGTAAATTCCATTATTAAAAAACAAAACGGATAAGAAAAGGTGACCACTACCACAGACAAATCATGTAAGAGCCTCCTAACAGGTAACCCAAAAAGCCAACACTACATGTGCCACATTTGGCACACATTTGAGAAGATGGTAACTGATAGGTAGTCAGTGTGGGTGTGTTCGGCCACATGGAGCCTGAGAGCTTGGCTGGCTGCTGGATAAAGGAGGGAAGAGACAAGAGAGGGGTCACGTAGCAGAGAGGAGGAGAGGGCAGCGGTCTGTCCGTGGGGAATAGAGAGATCTGTGCCCAGAGATGAATAGAGGACGGAGAGCGAAGGGGCGGGTGGGGGCCGGGGTGGTCTGTGTCAGTCTCTTCATTGTGTTCGTTTGCCACACCTCCCCTCCTCCCCTTCCCTCTTCTGTCTCTCCGTTAGCCCCCAGGGTCTGTGTGGCTGATAAAAGAGAGGAGGAGGCAGGGAGCAGACACAGTGCTGTCTGTCTGGGCTGTCTGCCCTGCCAGGCCAGGGACCAGGTCAAAGGGCCTCGCTGTGGAGCCCCCCCACAGCTCCTCCCTGCCTTTGTCTCCCCGACACCCCCCACCCAGCGGGAAGCCCTTTTGAGGAGATGAGACAGCGGGCCTGCTGGGCCAGGCTGGGTTGGGGATAAAGATCAGGCTGGCTAGAGTAGGGTGACAGATGGCTGCTTGAGCCCCTGTGAGACGACACACTCCGAGCACACCCCACTGGCACCCCAACTCCCTGTTCCCCAAGCTCAGGCCCACACAGCCAATAGAAGCAGTAGAAATATTGCAGAGGGTGGGGTGAGGGGGGAGCAGCATTAGGAAATTAAATCAGACACTGCTGTCTGATAATTCCTTTGTTTTTGTCTTGCTACGGAATGTCTCTTCTGCTGTTAAGCCGTGCACGTCTATGCTTTGTTAACCACATCATCATCATCATTATATTTTTTTTATCATTTATTGTTTTTGGTTATCAATGTTTCATTTTGAAGTCCTGTTTCAATGGTAATATGTATGAGATATTATAGTCATAGGCCTTATTGCACAGGATCGATTTGTTTTGCACCGTTTTGAGGCGATTTGCTTTGAAAACTCAGAAAAAACAGAAGTAGGAAGTTTGAATTGGAATCAGCATTGCAGAGTAACGGCGAATTCAAGTAGAGAGAGATCTGAGTTGAGCATAGTGAGGGATTTGAGGATGTTTTAATGGACTAGTGGCCTTGTCAATTGCCCTTTTTTTCTCTCCGTTGTTTAGGGCACAGCAGCGAGCGTGCTGAGGACTTTATCGCATCGTTGTGTTGTTGAAGGAAATATATATAAATATAAAACAACTGAAAAAGTGATGTGACAACTAAAAGAAAAAAATAAGCATGGCACACAATGAAGCAGAAGTACAATGCTTCTTTACAATTTCCTCCTACGCAAGCCATTCTTTGCAGTGGATGTTTTTGCAAGTGTTTAATATCGACTGTAGTTTGGTCTTGATTTTTTTTTCCTTTTGGAGAGAAATGACAACTATTAACCTGTGTATTTGAAGATGACAATGACGACAAGAAAAATCTTAACTGTTTGACCTCATATTAGCTAGTCATGTGTGACCCTTATTCCAGCTAACGTGTGTACTGCAATAGTCATACCAAGCCAATCACGTTTATTTGGGGGTTTTTTGTTTTTGTTTTTTTAAATGGGCTCTATATATAATCTGCATACGATATAATTACAAGTATTACAAAAAAACCTCTTAAATTTGGGGAATAATGCAGCAGTGATGTTACACATAGGAATACCGTGGTTGTGTGGCTACAAGTTAGCTCATCCTTTTTCATCAGGAAGTAGCTGTTTGGGAGTAATCACACACACATACATATATATGCTTAGTTCCCACTGATTCTCTGTGGGCTGTTTTTATATTATTATTATTTTCTGTGTCTTGCATCAAGAATTAAGATCCTGTGTGGTAGAAACACACCCCAGAAGATTAGTTAGATGAGATGGGTGACAATTTTTTTTTCTTTTTTAAGCTCAGATGTTTTTTGAAGACGCATCCCAATCATCTGTACGTGTGTGTGTCTGCTTAAGAAGTGATCTGTTTTATTGTTTTGTCTTTTGTTGTTGTCTTATTTTGTTTTTAGGTTTGTATTTAAATTATATTTAGCTCATTTATATATATATATATATATTAAAAATAAACTTTTTTTTCTTCTGGTGGGTTTTTAACACATCTGAAGCAGTGATACCTAGCTTGCTGGCAAGTGTGTAAGTTTGGAATTTCTGGAGTTTCCTTTGTGAAAAAAGAAAAGGCCATCAGTCAGTATCCATTATGCAAAGAGCGGTTCCCTCTCTCAGCAGATTGGGGCAGGTGGGGATTGCCCCCATCATCTGTGGCACCCCCTCCCTCCACCTCCAACCCCTTGTGCCCTTAGACCCCTGCGCTCGGGTCACGTGACTCACTCGACGACTGAATGAGATGCACCCTCATTTGGATTTTCTCGTGAATCTTGACAAAACGAGCGGCCCGGCCGACGCGCGGACGAGCTTTTGGGATTGACGACGGTGGGTCATCTGTGATGAGCTTTTGTTTTTGTTTTTCTAAGCAGCTGAAAAAATAAACTAATAGGAAAGAAAAGATGTGCTGGAACAAACTCTGGTGTGTGTTGGGGGTTTTTTTTCCTTCTTTTCTGTCTCGTCAATTTCTCAGTGCAGTCACATGGAAGCTGGCGTGGTATCACTAGACAAAAAAAAAAAGAAAAGTCATTCAGACACGACAAAAGAAACAATGGCACACACGTGGTTGGCTCCGTCGTCAGCAGACAGACTGCGTAACTAATCGTGGCGCCGCAGTGGGTCATTTTACTAACAATTCATACGTGTGCACGCTGCAGCTCATTTACATCGTCACACATTAAGCCGAACACACTTTAGAAATTAACAGCGCCGTCTGTGTTGGTGTGCACGACTGCCACGCAGCGACCTTCATCAGTGACTCGCCTTTGCTGAGCCCCCCAACATATGCCTGGGGGCTCCACGACTTTGGCGTCCCGATGGACGCTCTTAATGCAGGGGTTACCTCCCTGCTGAGGGCCCCGTCCCTCAAACCTATTGGATGTCCTCCAGCCCTTATCCACAGCGATCAACATAATCTCACGTGATTATTCTGAACACGTAAACACATGTGAAAGGCTGAAACGTTAGATTTCTTTGTTTTATTTCACGCAGAATCACAACACAAACAGGGCCAGTAAGGATGTTATAGATGTTCTAATCTGGCAAACAGGGAAGTGAAAACACACCAACAGCAGATGCAAGAGGGGATAGAAATGAAATACTAAAATGAGTGAATGCTCATATCATACAGGGGATGATTAATGAATAACTGACACTGATGGCCGGCACCGGTCACACTTAATTCAGCTTGGTACAGTAAGAACAGGCAGAAACACTGTAACTTTAAAGAATGAAGATTGTGTCTCTTCCTTTGTCTGTCACTGGGCCCAACACTGACTGATGAGTGAAAGAAAGGTCTGTAATCCAGAATTCGAGATGACATCTGCCCATTTTCCTATTGCTCCATAACTATTCCATAACTATTAACTCTGGGCTGGAGGTGGAAAGAAGGCTGGGTAATTACAATTTTGGTTTGCAAAGATTAAAACAACATAATTGGGGACAAAACTCTTACTGCTTTTGGGGGCTGAAGCCTATCCCAGCTGTCATACGGCGAGAGGCGGGGTACACCCTTGACAGGTTGCCAGTCTATCACAGAGCTAACACAGACACTGACACCCACATCCACACCTAGAGTCAGTTTAGTTTCACCAATTAGCCTAACCACATGCATATCTGTGGGAGGAAGCCATATTACCTGGAGAGGACCCACTCAGAAAGGCCCTAGGCTGGAGTCAAACCCGAGCCCTTCCTGTGCGGTGACGGTGCTAATCACCACACCATCCTAGATGCTAGATAAGCTATATGGAGCAAAAAAAAAAAAGAAACACCCACACTTTTCTACTTCTAAAAATGTGCATATAATTAACATAATTCTGCTTTTGTTATTCACTATTCTGTTTTCCATTGTCTCATTCCGACGTATTTTTGGTTGTCAAAATCAAACTGGTTAACAACGGATCATACGTTTTGGATCAAACCGAACCATTAATCACCTTGTTTGAGAAAACCATTGGCAGGTCCTTTTAGTGTCTAAACAACCATTAGTTAAAGCCCATAAATAGAGCACACGAATAAATATAATCAAGCCTCGGGGCACCGTATGATGACTCGAGCTTTGCCGACTTTGTGCTGGCACTGAAGAATGAATGGATCCGTGTGCGTGTGTGTGCGCAGGGTGACTCACACCAGCATCGTCCATTGTGTGAGCCAGACAAAAAGCTGGCTGCATCTCTGCTGGCCTCGATGACGAACCAAAGCCGAGGAGGGAGGACACTCACTTTAAGATGACGGTTTACGAGCGCAGACGCACTCCCACAAACTTCAACACACAAGTGCCAGCACAGCTCTTTGTGGCTGCGTCTTGTATTTTTATTTATTTATTTATTTTTTAAGTTGTCTGATGGCTCACACACTGTATTTTTTTAGACCCTTGGTGGGGTTTTTGTGTGTGCGTGCCCTCCCGTCTGCACAGCATGCGCGTTTTTGTGTTTGATCGGCGCACAGGCAAAGCCGGAGGAGAGCACTCCAGATTGTTTTCTGTGTAGTCCGAGGGCTGCAGAGGTCAAACATTGTGTAAAACAAAGTAGATTTGAAACGCGCAGAAGCATCCCCAGATGTTTTTTTTTCCTCTACTGTATGCTTTGCTGTGGGAGAAATCAATAACTGTGGGCTACCAAGTGGTTTTAGCTCGCTCTCTTGACCTTTTCCAACTCAGCAGCAGCTACTGCGCAGCAGTTTATTCCACTCTCCCAAAAAAAACTGACTCCATCTCAACTATAATTGGATTCAGACATTTTTAACTGTGTCAACATATTCTGGAGCTA